TTTATTTAATGCACAATGAATTAAAGTGAAACAAACATGAACAATCAGGTGTTGTTAATAAATAACATTTTCAAACATTAATTAAATGTTGTAAAAATATATTGTTCACTCAATGTGTTGATAACTAAGTAATGTTTATGAATGGTATCTTTGTAGCATTTACCATAAAACATATTTTATTTGACTTGACTGTCCTTTTATTAATCTAAAACTGCATTCATATTTAATTTTAAAAAGGCTTTTCAAAACCTGCTGAGTTATAAAGGTAAGAATACGCCTAGAACTGGCACTGACATTAAATGACAATACTAATACCATAGTACTCTGGTGTCGGGTAGATACTACTGTGCTCATGTACTCGTAAAACTACCCCGAAAGCACTTTAGAGGCCGTTCACTGTCGCGCGTGTTTTTTTTAATTATATTTTTGCGCGTGCTTATTCTTTCCAAAGCGCTTGCTCTCACGCGGCGTCTGTCGTTGCTATGCAACGCCAACGAGTTTTTATTAGGAGCGCGCTTGAATCACGCCTATATTTGAAATTGCGAATTTGCATGTAATCGGCCTCTTATGGCAACGTGACATTAGCCTAATCCAAAATATTTCCATATGTGGCTCTTTCCTCCTTTCGTGTCAACAAGTGGATTCAGAGAGAGAGAGCCATATCAGCGTTATGAAGAGGACGCAACTGTGCACGTTTCAGACATCGCGTCTAGAACAGAACTGGACGAACCTGGTATTCGGTACCTAGAAAAGCTGGTACCGTAACATTTTTTTTTTTTTAGTACCGACTTGGTACCGAAGTACCGAGTTTTTTGACAACACTAATAGTAACATTGAATCATCTCAGAGTTTAATCGTGTTGACTGTTGTACCCGAACTGCGGAAACTCTGAAGGAAGATTTGGCGAATGCAAAATGTATGTAAGCTAGTAGGGATGTGGTGAAACAAGTTTGCTGTGTTTCCACTTTTAGCATTAACAGTTTTCATGCATATTTGACAAATTGTGTTTTGTTGGAGATCTGACCTCTTGTACTCGAACCACTTTCATACTATTGAAGTAGCGCACTTTTTAGGAACTAAATCTTGATCTGATCCGAAGGCTGCTGTGCTGTTGTGCGCGCGTTAAGTAACGTAAATACGCCATGCGTCATCATGCCACTATATCATCAATATCGTGTCCTCGCACAGCTATATCATCAATATTGCGATATGACACTTTTTTTATCATGTAAAATTTGATACCGGTATTATCGTGGACGGTATGATCATAAGCACTAGGGCTGTGCCATATCAAAGTATACTTAAAGCATGTCATGTACTGTTTTTACATTCAGTTCACATCTGTAAAGCTGATTTGTCTGTCTGCAGCCTCCAGGACCATAGCTGTCGGCATTATAAAATGAGTTGTGCTGTATTATCACTTTTATTACCCGTATATCATGTAATGGGACAGCTCATATACAGAAGACCAGCTTGGGGCTCGAATGTCTAATGGGGGGCTTCCTGTCGTATGCATTGAAAACTGCTTTGAAAAAAATATGAAAGTGTTTGCTTCTACATAATGTTTGAGTTAATTCTAAGTGTTCTATGGGAATGTTACTGAGGAGTCTATAATGTGCTGTTTGAAGGATGAGAATGACGACGACGACGACTGGAACCCGTGTAAGGCTGCTGGCGTTTGTCTGATGCTTTTAGCCACGTGTTGTGAGGACGATGTGGTGCCACACGTGTTGCCCTTCATCAAAGAGCACATCAAACACCCCGACTGGCGCTACCGGGATGCCTCGGTCATGGCCTTCGGGTCAATCCTGGAGGGTCCCGAACTCAACCAGCTCAAACCGCTCGTCATCCAGGTAAGGGTTTACGCTCACAGGCTAATTGGTTGTCGACCTGTGACTGCAGGTGTGTGACGCTCTCATGTGTTAGGCCATGCCCACGCTCATCGAGCTGATGAAGGACCCCAGTGTGGTGGTGCGGGACACGACAGCCTGGACGTTGGGGCGCATCTGTGACCTGCTCCCTGAAGCTGCGATCAATGAAATGTATCTGGCCCCGCTCCTGCAGTGCCTGATCGAGGGCCTCGGGGCCGAACCACGCGTGGCCTCCAACGTCTGCTGGGTAACGACACCTTTATGTTCTGTCGCATGACTGCTTTCATGATGACCACTGATCAGTGGGGGCATTTCCATGCACAGTCCTGACCACATACACAGTCATCTTCTGCTTAATCTGGTTGTATAAAAGTGTTTATCCATTTTCCTTTGTTCTTAACCAATTTCAATTATCCAATCAACACCGCTAGATTTTTCCTGGCATTTAAACTCATTAACCAGCGTTCTATGGATTATTGAAGTGCGCATGTGATGTAGGAAATGTATATCGGAAACTATGACTCTTTCTTTACCCAAGAAATGATCGAATGTGTTATGATCTCATGCAGCTGCAATAGTAGCAGTTCAGTCAAAATACTGTGTAAATCAGTAATAACAAATAACAAATGAAATGTGTGCAGTAGATACACAAATGATTGGGCTGGAAAAACTGCATGTAAACCGGAACGTTAAATCAGTAAGCTGGTTTTGGTGAGCTTTCAGTGTGCATGTAAATGTGCTCATTGTATTGGGGTGTTGGAATAACTCAAACAGCTTTGCACTAGGGTGAAGGAATTTCCCATTGAGTGGCTCAATATCGCTTATCACAATATCATCACCATTGATGTATGTATTATGTTAAGCGTTACAATGTGGTCAGCAGGGACAAAAACGAGGACATAAGGAACCAATGGAACTAAACGTGTTGAAACAGGAACTAAATTGAGCAGAATGTCAAAATAAGGGTGTACGTTACAGATTAACAGTTTCGATGCTTAAATCTGCTTTCTGCTGACATTTCCCCAGCATCAGCACTGCTGGTGACGTTGTCCAGTCAGTGCAGTTACAGTGTTACGCCACTAGGCAGCAAACGACTTAAGCCAAGTTCGTCACTACAGGATTTTAAGCCCGATTTATGCCGATTTGCAAATCGTTGAGCTCGCCGACAGATCAGAGTGTTATCGTGTGCAAATCGCGGGGGATTAGCGGACGATGAACGCTTGCCGATCTGTTATCATGAAAGAGCCAACAACGCAGCGAAAACGCTCGATAACGCGTCGCAGAGCCCAGAAAAATATCTAGCCTGCTAGATATCCAGAGCCGTCGTGTGACTCAAACTCAGTGATGTCATGAGTACAGCCAATCATAGCAACGCAAGGGTTGAGGACACCAGGTAAATCTTAGTTTTTTTTTTTTTTTGCATTTTTTTCAGAGCAGATTGTCGCGAAAACAGTGTGCAGCACTAGTTTCTGTCTGACATCCATATTCGTGTGTTGTGTTCTCTTCTTTGCGGGGTATTGGTGCACGTGCAGTTTCGAGTCATTTCTGGTTGGTTTTTTTGCTTGGTTTTTCGTGACAAATGTGGTTTGTAGACAAGATAGAATTGTTGGGTGACAGTTGTTGTCAACTTGTTATTTATGTGATTATTTTCAGGATTTAGGCCGTACCATACTACTGAAGCAGCTCATCATTAGAGTCACAAATAATTTGCTCTTATCATCCGATCGTGGTTGTATCTCTTTGTGCGTTTTCAACTCATGTAGTGAGTTACCTCATGTTGTGGATCATTCACTTTGTGTGGTGTGAACAGCTAAACAACTTGAACACTCCTGATTTCACAGAGAGCAAGTCATGTAGCGCACGGTTCAGCCCGACGTTTTAAGATCATGTAGTGTGAACAAGGCTTTACGTGAGTCATTAAACTGTTCATTCAAAAACGCAGAATCATTCAAAGATATATGTAATGAAACAAATTGTTAAAATTACTGTAACTTTGAGCGCCGCTTTACAAGGCTCAGCTGACCGGCAATATGTCGCATGAGTAACGCTGAAGCTAATGCTTTACTTCATCAATAGAGGTTTTCGCACCAGATAGTTGTAGGAACGGGCCACCCGGGTGGGTTCCGAGGACTAATGGTTCCCTTAGGAACGTTTTCCTGGCTGAATTCGCACTGCCAGTAGGAACTTTGGAGAGTCGTAAGCCGCGCTTGTTGTGACCTTTTTGTTGACGGCGCTATGAACGCCTTAGCCTGAGGACATGGTGCTCGCATTCTCCGTGTTCATTAGTTTACAGTCTAACAGTGCTGTCTAATACATTAGATTGAATTGCCATACATCAAAATTTACACAGGAATGGCAGTTATTAGCGTGTCATGCGTTTGATGTCCAGTGTCGCTGAGCAGAAATACATAATCCTGTTTCTCTCGGCCTCAAAGTTGCGTTGGATTTTTCTCCTCGGCGTAAAGTAGACATGTGCCGGTAATCGGTAATGCGATAAATCGCGGTAATGAATATGCACGATATTGTTATCGCGGGCTCTTCAAAATACCGTGAAAAATGATAGATTCGAATTTAGACTTTTAGAGCGTGCATTAACTTATTTTCCATCAACCGCTCAAACACTGCGTATATGCTGCGTAAAACACGCACGCACTCTGATGTAAACAATCCCCACATAAGCACTGTGTGCATGCGACAGTGCGCACTAGTCAAACAATCCTCACATGGAGTAGAAGCATGGCGGAACGCTCACGACGATTTATCCCCGCAGGGCTGCCAACTCTCACGCATTCAGCTTGAGACTTTCAGACAGGACGCGGAATACGCACGCGACGCGCAGGGATGTTTTGCTGCTGCGTCGACCTGCATCGACCAACACACGCCGGGGTTAAAGTTAAAAATAGTTCAACTTTTTATTTGTAAAATGGCAAATCGCGTTGTATCTGAAGGGCAACGTTGAACCAAGCGGCCAGCGTCGCGCATTCCGCGTCCTATCTGAAAGGCGCTTAACGCATTTGACACTTTTCACACGCTCTCCCACAGAGAAAAATCATAGAGCAAAGAGGACACTGACACAGACAGACTAGACAGAGCAGATTACTTTTGATATGAAAGTTGTTATTGATAAATCAGCTCTTAGGTTCTGATCACAGATCGTTGCTCCTCAGTTCAAGCAAACCGATCATGTCACTTTCGTTTTTATTTAAAGATACAGTACAACTTACGAAAGGTATATTTACTTATACATAATAACGATCAATAAGTGTTTTTAAACACGGAAAGAGGTCAGTAACAGTTGTGTCACAAAACGTTACATTTACCTCAGGAAAGCCATTTAATGACCAGCAAATTAGTTGAATAGAAAAAAATAGCAAGGAGTATTTTTGCTAAATATTATATTTAATTTCTCTCTGTATGTTTACAGCATTATGTGTATTTTTTTTTTCTTGAGAAATATTAAAAGACTGGGGCCTACCTAATATTTATCCAAAAGAGTCAATATTGAATTAAGACTGAAATCAAATCCAAGAATTTAATTGAATAATACAAACAGTAACCTACCAGTCATTGTACCATAAACATTGTAACATGTTGTCACTAAACTTTAAAAAATTCTTTAAATAGTTTAAAATTAACTATTTAAAAAAGTTGGGGGTTTTTTAGAGACCCACAATGCATCTGTTTTTCTTGAGCATTAAAATATTAATTTCATTAAAATATCGTGATAATACCGTATACCGTGATAAAAGCTCAATCAATTAACCGCAGCATGAAAATTTGATACCGGCACATGCCTAGCGTGAAGGTTTAGATGCTCATCAATCACTGTTCTACATGTTTGAGGAATAAATATATAGCCTATAATCTGTTTACTGCCTTTTTAATAATGGCGGGTGCTGGTGTGTCGCGTGTGTTCGGCCAATCAGCTAACACTAACGTAGGGCTGTCGCGGTAACCGCAATATTGTAGTACCGCGCTTCTGACAAGTCAACCGCAGAGGATAGCACGTAACCGCAGCAACCGCGATATTCACTTTTTTTTTTATAAGGCTATACCCTTCTTGTTTTGAACTTAATGCATGTGTATTGAATGTTAAACAAGTTCATAATGATAACAAGACTGTTTATCATGGTGATGTGTAGCCTACAGGCTTCACACAGACAGTGAATGAGGGAGATCGGCAGAGCGCATGCAATTACCTGCGTCTGTCTTTGAACTCGTGAAAAGCTTGTCGTGTCAAAGGAAGCGAAAAATTTGTCGCATCATCATTTTAACGTTCTCTTCACGGGTATTTTCCCATAAATGCGCGTCAGCAGCAGCGCTTGTCAGCATCCCACAGCACAAGGAAGCTGAAATAAAATCAGTGAGTCACGCATTGAATCAATGGGTCTCTAATAAGTGAAGCATCAGCTTCAGCATTGCCTATGCGACGCATTGCTGCTCAGCTGAGCCTTGAAAAGTTGAATCTCAAAGTTAAAAATAATTAACATCTTGTTGAATCAGCTTTTTTAAACGTGTTCGTTGAATGAACGGTTCAATGACTCGCTCAAAGTCCGTTGTCATAACAATATGCGCGCTGAGTGAAAGTCTTTCAATGCGCATACTGTAGAAATGCGAAACTCTATTTAGTTTCGGTTACTGAAAATGTCCTCGTTTTTGTCCACATCGTAAACATTATTTATATAGCAACAAAAACATATAAATTAATTAAATAAATAAATGGCGGTAATACCGCATATCGCGCTATTGAGCCACTCAACATTACCGCAAGGGAAATTCCATAACCGCGACAGCCCTACACTAACGTCCCATATAGTTCCTGTAGTGCTGGTTTACACAGACTGTGAAGTAGGAGTAAATTCCTGCGGTGTGAATGCGCCATACTCTGGGACATTTCGCCAATAGTTGTAGGAACGATGAAGAGGTTCCTGCGCTGCGAAAGCCCCTCATGGCATTGATTCTCTCTCAACCTCTCCCTCACATTCACTCTAAGTTTAAGTGCAAATCCACTAAGCAACTGTACACAGCACATCAGTCTTAACTTATTTAGCGTTTAATACTCGTGCACAATGTGTACGACAAATTGCGTGTGTCCCTCCCGATTTGGCAGCAAGATCAGAGAACCGAGATCACAATAGATGTTAAGACAAAACTATGTAATCTGCTTAAATATTGGTGCAATATATGTTGCATTGTAAAGTGTGTGCATGTAGTTGCATATGTAATTATGGTTTTGACCGTGACTCGTGCTAGTCCTAAATGAACCCTATCCCTGAGTATCGCCTCAATTGCAGCAAAACTCCATCTGGTGAGAAACTTGCTAAATTTGTTCAGTCTACCTTTGAATCAAATGCTGTATTTTCTACAGTATAAAGACACCCAGTATAGAGTGTGATCGGTGTGTTCGACGCCTCTGACTCGTTGCGCACACTCATGGGAGTGAGCGTGTGGTGGTGCCTAAAGATGAGGCTCACAGATACTGTTTTCAGGCCTTCTCTAGTTTGGCTGAGGCGGCGTATGAAGCGACCGACGCTGCGGAGGATCAGGAGGAGCCCAGCACATACTGCCTGTCCTCATCCTTCGAGCTCATCGTGCAGAAGCTGCTGGAGACCACGGACAGGTAAGCACCCTACCTGACACTCCTTTCAGTAACTTATGCAAAATAAACTCGGATAAACTTGTAATGAACTCTTTCTTTCAGCAAATGGTTGGTAAAAGGCAGGCATTATCTTCAGACACCATCTTTTACCTTGTTTCCTAAATAATACTTGCTGCTGTAGGGTTAGGGACTCTGCTGTCCAGAATGGGTCATGTTAGGGGTCTCTGCCGTCCAAAACGGGTCAGGTTAGGGGTCGCTGTCGTCCAGAATGGGTCAGGTTAGGGTCGCTCCCGTCCAAAACGGGTCAGGTTAGGGCCTCTGCCGTCCAGAGCGGGTGAGGTTAGGGCCTCTGCCGTCCAGAACGGGTCAGGTTAGGGTCTCTGCCGTCCAGAACGGGTCAGGTTAGGGTCTCGCTGCAGTCCAGAACGGGTCAGGTTTGGGTCTCTGCCGTCCAGAACGGGTCAGGTTAGGGTCTCGCTGCAGTCCAGAACGGGTCAGGTTTGGGTCTCTGCCGTCCAGAACGGGTCAGGTTAGAGGGTCTGTGGTCCAGAACGGGTCAGGTTAGAATGGGTCAGGTTAGGGTCTCTGCCATCCAGAACGTGTCAGGTTAGGATCGCTGCCATCCAGAATGGGTCAGGTTAGTGTCTCTGCTGTTCAGAACGGGTCAGGTAAGGGTCTGCTGTCTGGAACGGGTTCAGAATGTTTCAGTGCTGTGTGTTAATCTTTAAATACCTCCATTTGCGGTTTGAGAGATCTGATCATGACATGTTTTAGACCCTCACACATCAAGCTTTTTGTATCAATGTTATTACTTAGTGTCATAATTAAGATATTAGATATTCTAATTTTGACATGGGTAGGGCTGGGCAATAAATCAATTTTATTGATTAACTCGAATTTGTAGTTTGCGACGATTTTCTTGAATGAAAATCAGTTTTCTCTAACAACCGCCGACGCGGCCATCTGGGCTCCCGTAGTTCTGACCGCGCTCTGCGCTTGCTATGATAGAGATACACCAACAACATTGCAAATGATCAAGACCGTGGCAGCAGAAGTACACCCGCCGAAAACATTTACAAGCTGAATCTGCAGGGCCGCCAACTCTCACAAATTCACTGTGAGAGACGAAATTGTCACTTTTTACACTTTCTCACGCACACATCCATTTTCTCACGCAGAGAAACATCGTGAAGCAAAGAGCAAGAGGACACTGACACGAACAGACAGAGCAGGTTTTTATTGACATGAGACCATAGACAGAATCTGAGAGCTGAGAATCTGTCTCATGCTACAGTCAATTTTATTACGAAATTCAAACAATAAACACAGTTTTGACGCTTGTAAATGTGACGTGATCACGTGAAAGATCACGAACAGATTCTAACTTACCGAATTAAAACCGATCGATCAGTGTTTTTCAACCGTGGAAAGATGTCCATAAAACAGCTGGAGAAGTTGGAGAACAACATGTCATGTAACGTTACATTTACCTCAGACCCTATGCCTCAGACTCAGGACGCATGTTAGTTGGACATAAAATAATTGCTATAGAGAGGAGCATTTTGCTAAATATGATAACTATATTACACATTTACTATATTTGACCTATATCATTAAAGTATTATGTTGTTTGTTATTATAAAAACGCATTATGTTTAATTTGAGATAGTTAACCTTTATTAATACCAGCTGACAGGGCTCAATGTATGTTTACAGTAGGGGTGCAACGGTACAGATAGCCCACGGTACGGTCCGTACCTCGGTTTTTGGGCCACGGTCTCGGTTCGGTTTCGGTACATGTTTTGTGCAGAAAGAGACTGCTATTTCATCCCAAAAATATGTTTTATTTTTCTTATGAGCATAAACAGAATGTCACAGCAGGAAGAACATCAATGTGTATAGAATAAATTAACACTCTAGTCTGTACTGAACAACACTAAGCAATACAACCTCTTCAAATACCACTTATGATATACAAAATGTAAACGAGCACACTTTAAAATATTCAAGTGGATCCCAATTCCAAACCTTGATAACTGTTAAATGAAGTGATCAATGTGAAAGAAAAAGTGCACTTTTACCTTTAACATAAATTAGCTTGTGGTTTGAATAAATAGAGCAGAGCAAAATAATATAATAAAAAAAAACTGCATTCAGGATACAAAGTGCAATGTTACTAATCCACTTTTGAGAGATTCTTGTGCAAAAATATACTGCAGTCAAACATTTGACTGGGTTTGCGTTATGCATCCACTATGTGCTGGGAATGTAGAGAGTAGGCTACGGAGCCGGAGGTGAGGCGTTTATTTAGTAAGCGTGAGCGCGCTGGGGCGGGCACGCAACTTACATTCGCAGCCTGACTCATATATGAGTATTCAATGTGCGGCGGCTCACTAACAACAGTTGGCTGTTTTGAATAAAACGACCCGTGTGAACGGGGAGCGCTTTATGAACATCTATGACGCGCGAGCAGCACCGGTCTGTTCGTGTGTCTGTTAAGAGTGAGCGCTCGTGAGCGACACACACATAACATGATTTATACGAGGTTGAGGTTGTGACAAAGTGGGCATAAGCTGGACACGAGCGCGAGTTCGCGGGCGAATTTAATAACGCGGAGCGTTGTTAACTAATTGATCCATATATAGTAAGGCGCTCCGGAATATAAGGCACACTGTCGTTTTTTGAGAATATTAAATGCTTTTAAGTGCGCCTTTTATAGTGCGGAAAATACGGTTAAAGGATCAGCACGAACTCTATGGCAGAACCGAAGTCCCGCGGGACACGAGGTTAGATTGTCCCGTGCAGGGCAGACCGAACGGTCCGGGATTTTACCGTGTACCGTTGCATCCCTAGTTTACAGCATTAAGTAATTTATTTTGAAGAACAATTAACATAACACATTAATGTACTGTATCTACTGTACCTAATATTTATCCAAAGGAATTGATATTGAATCAATATCAGAATCAAATCTTTGAAATTGTGAAAGTTGTGTTAAGCAATAATAAAAACAGTAGCATACAGTCTTTGTTTACCATGTAAACATTGTGTTTATGGTTAATAAACCTAATAAAATTATTTACCAAATAATTTGACAAAAAATTGATTGTTTTTATTTATTTATTTTTTTTTTACAATCCCAATCCACCCATTTCATGTTATGTTACATTTACACTATTTATAATGACAGGGCCTGCCCTCTTGTCTTTTTGGCTTGTTGTTTCTGATTGTACTTTTATCCAGATAATATCACAGAAGGGAATATCAAAACAAAATAAAGTTAACTTGTTTTGAACAATTTCTTTGTCATCTGCAGATTGATTTTAAGTAGGGACAGAAAAAACGATTTAAATCGTAAATCAGATTTTTTTTTTTTTAAGCCATATCGCCCAGCCCTACATATGGGGTAGTCCACCAATGTGTTTTTGGCCGAAATGTCTTGAGTTAGTCCCAGATAACCCACAGTCATAATCCCAGAGCAGGTGAATATGATCTGAGCTGCTCTTCTCTGGTTATCGGTTCTGAGGCTCAGTGTGTTCTCTGTTGGCAGGCCCGATGGACATCAGAATAACCTGCGCAGTGCAGCGTACGAGGCCCTGATGGAGATCGTGAAGAACAGTGCAAAGGATTGTTACCCAGCGGTGCAGAAGACCACACTGGTCATCATGGAGCGACTGCAGCAGGTCCTGCAAATGGAGGTGAAGAACAGTCCTCGCTGCTGGCCTAGACCGGGCAAGCACAAACATCACATGATTCAGTGCCGATTCTCCTGAACCCTGTCAGTGGCTTCATTAATGTTAGAGCTGATTTGTATACAAACATTCAAATTACAATAGATATAAAACGAATGATTTTAATAAATATTTTATAATAACTTTTGGCCATTGTTTCTACCCAAAGTTTGTTATTTTTATGAACAAAATGGTGACTAATTTATTCAAACATACATTAAAGGTCCCCTGACATGTTTTTATTTATTTATTATTTTATAATGTTTCCTGGGTTGCCCTTATAATGTTAGTATGTTTTTTAGATCAAAAATAGTCATAATTTAGAAATAAAAGGCATTTTTCCTAGCCTGATTTTAGCCTCTGCTTAGAACGCTCTGTTTGAAGGCGCGTGTCTGCTGTGGGATTCGATGTAACCACCCACTGCTGTGATTGGCTGACATGCTTGCATATGAAATAGCTACATATTACATGTGAAACTCTCTTGAACACGTTTTACTACAGCTAATATACATTTTTACTATTACAGATATCAAGATTACTGAATCGTGAGAAGTTTTTGAAGTATTTAGATTCTCATCACATAAAATGTTGCTGTGATGAGCATTGAGCAGCAGATGACAGTCTATCGCGAGAATGAAGATCTTATTGTATAACACAGTTTCTGCTCTCTCTGCTTTCACCAATGCAGACATGATGTACATACAGTAAGAGCTTCGTTGTGCAATGTAACACAGTTTCTGTTCTCTCTAAAGCCCGGAACTCGTCCGCTCTCGTCGAGGTAAAAAGCTGCACTTGAACTATGACTTGAACTCACCGAGAGAACAGCAGCCGACTGTCAGCTGTCTATTTCTGCAGATATATTAGCAGGGATGTGATTTTTCCGGATTAATCCGGAATTCCGGATTTTCCGACCTGAAAATGTGACCTACGTGAATCATGCAGATCTGTAAAAAAAAAAAAAAAAAAAAAAAAAGAGGGGGACGGGTGTCGGCAGGCGGAGTGAAAAGGAGAGAATATGAGGACATAACCCATAACTGGCTGACGTGCGTACAGAAAGTTCCTTTCAAAGTATCAACAAGAACGTATTTGCATTCAGCATTCATATCTCTAGTCGCTCTCGCGCTGGTATCGTTGTCGTTGTCTCGGTATATTTTCCTGCTTTTTTGTCCTTAGCCAATCACATGCCTGATTAGTCTTTCAAAAAGGAAAACTGACGCTGCCGGCTGCAGATACACATAACGTAAACAAAGCAGCACGTGTTTACCGTTTAGAATATCAATCCTGCTAAACACTTTCTTTAAATAAGATTATTTTCATCCTACTCAAAGAAACGATGTGAAGTTGATAATAGTCTGGCTTGACTTACTGATGCATAAACAGTATTGAATGATTTTGTGAGAAAGATTAACTTACCTGTCTCCTGCCTGTTTGGACCATACAAAACTTTGAGTTTAGTCGGCGCATTTCCAGAGAAAATAAAATTAACCCATTGTTTCTTCAGAGGCGCGGATGAAGGAACTAAAAAAATACTTTTGTGTTTATTTGTACATTCCAAACACTGAGCAACTGCCATGCTTTGCTCGATTGCAAGCCATGATATTTCTTGAGGAAAAACTCAAATCTCAAAGCTATTTCTCTAGGAAAAAATAAAAACGCGCCTGCGCGTGTTCGTACTTCCTGTTCCTAGCTCGTTTTCTCATCGTCGGGCCAAATTCTCTGGGCGGGCAAAGCAGAGAAAGGGGAGTAACCTTTTCTCCGTATGACGTTATATAGGGGGAGATTCTAGATCAGTGCATCTGAGATGCAGACGGATGCAGAGAAGAGAAAAATAGCCAAAGCTCGGTTTACACCGATTGAAAATTCTAGACACGAGGGGACCAAATACAGTCTAGGGGAACTCATATTAATGTTTAAAAACCTCAGAAAATGAAAATTTCTTGTCACGGGACCTTTAAGTAATGACGACGAGATTAAGTAAAGATTTATGTAATATGATGTATTTACATTTTCTGAGGTAAATGTGATGTTTGTAAACAGCACAGACTAAAAGGTTGATTTGAGATTTAGGAATCCATATTGGTGCATCAAAATGAGAATAGATTCAAATATTGCTAAGCGTGTGTGAGATGTTAAGACACAGCTTGACTGGTTCTGTAAATGTAGCACCAGTGTATGTGGATGATGCTGGTGTTGGATTGATGTAATTGAATGCTTGTGTGTTGTCCAGTCTCACATCCAGAGCACATCAGACAGGATCCAGTTCAATGATCTACAGTCTCTCCTGTGTGCCACCCTGCAGGTCAGCCCCCAGAATGTGTCTGCGTGCCTGTGTGCATGGCTGTGTGTATGTGTGCGTGTGCTCAGCTCTCTTGTCTTCAAACAGAACGTGTTGCGTAAGGTTCAGCACCAGGATGCGCTGCAGATCTCGGATGTGGTGATGGCGTCTCTGCTCCGCATGTTCCAGAGCACTGCCGGTTCTGGAGGCGTTCAGGAGGACGCGCTCATGGCCGTCAGCACGCTAGTGGAAGGTGAGGCCTGCTTATCCCGGTGCAAGCATATGAGCTATATGCACTGTTCATGCTAGTGGAAGCTGAGGCCTGCTTATCCCGGTGCTCGTGACAGCTATCGGTTCTGGGTACTGCTGGAAATAAGGTGCATTATGTTGGAAACCATCACAAGTGGCCACATAGTGAATACAGGCAGTGTTGTAGTACTCGAGACTCAGACTCGTCTCGGACTCGATCTCGAGACCATATTTTAATGGTCTTGGTCTTGTCATGGACTCGTGTGCATTTGGACTCGGAATTGACTCGTACTCAAATTTTTTTTTTTTTAGGACTCGGAATTATTCCCGAGTCCACTCGAGTTCAATTAAAAATATTATTCATGATTATTAATGTATGTTAATAAAATATTTCTTTAAATTGATTGACACGCCCAGTGATTGGTGATTTTCTAATGCGCAACTGCGCATGACAAATTATAATAAAATTACTTTTAACACCACCTACTATGTGGCCTTTTTTACCCTAAACTGATCATATTTTTTAAACTAAGTAAATTCAGTAAAAAAAAAAAAAAAAAAAAAAAGGATTGCTCTAAGTAAATAAAAGTAAATTAGGTAATCAACCCTCACTGGTCTCGGTCTCGACTCGGACTCGACCGTCTCTGGTCTCGGACTCGACTCTCTATGGACTCGGTCTTGACTCGGACTCGACTCTCTCTGGTTTTGGTGTCGACTCGAGTGAGGTGGTCTCGACTACAACACTGAATACAGGCACACGTTCTCTGGCGTCGTTTCCTGCTGGTGGTGTTGATCTGGTCTCCTGTGTCAGTGCTGAAGCCAGCTAGAAACATTGATCAAATCACCTCATGTAATCCACTGTTCGGATGCTCTTCTTCATAACAGCCATAAGGATTAAACATCTCAGTGATTACAGTTGACAATCTTATCCTTTTCCTTTGGCTCTTTCTGTTTGAGCTGCATAACATTCTTATTTTGAGTGGTATTGTGTTACTAATATAATAAGTCAAAATCTGTGATAAGTCAAAATCTGACAGTTTTTATTGTAACCTTATTTGAGAAGCCTTCAGAACTAAAATAAGATTCACATGAAGTTCACAAGCTTTATTTAGTGTCTCGTTACAGCTGTGAATGAACTAACTTCCCCTTTTCCTTCCAATCCAGTTTTGGGCAGTGATTTCTTGAAATACATGGAAGCCTTCAAGCCGTTCCTGGTCATCGGGCTGAAGAACTACGCAGAATATCAGGTAAAGCTTGTGCCGAGGCAGTGTCGATGATTGTTCCTCCTGCTGCTTTGAGGATTTGCAGCTCAGGATTTTGAATCATCACAGAGAAAGCGAGTCTGTTTCACCCGGCGTGCGCCGACCCTGCGGTCTCGTGGCCACGCTGGATATTGCGGGACTCTACATCTACAAGAGCTTCCACTGAGAGGCTGTTCTGTGGACCATCCACGACACATCCTCGATTTTATAATATAACATTGAGCTTCATATTTAAAGTAGAGTTGTTTACACTGATTAAGGCTATTGTAGTGTGTTAAAATCGCTTGGCCAATTTAAAGTTCTTTGAAAGGAGTCCCACAGATGTGATGAAGTGCTTGTGGTGTGTGTGCAGGTGTGTCTGGCTGCGGTGGGGCTGGTGTGTGATCTGTGTCGAGCACTGATGGCCAATATTCTGCCTCACTGTGATGAAATGATGCAGCTATTGCTGGAAAATCTGGGTGTAAGTAATGGCCATTTCCAACATGACATGACTTCTGCGTAAACATGCATTATCTATACGCATTTTGAGCTATCCGCGTGTATGTACACGGCATTAAATGTCCGAGCGAAACGAAGCAAAATATAGATCTACATCTGGGGAGTGATATTTTTTCCTAGGATGGTAGGGGAAGACTCATAAAACATCTGTACAATATGAGTGGTATTGCGTTACTAATATAATACTGTGACATCCCATATTTTCTGGAACAGATACACCTGGTCAAATGCATGAGGGGAAAAAGTATGGTCACATTTCAGCTGCCCTCACAAAATATCCTTTAAATTTAGTGGAAACTAAAATGGAAAATATCAGTATAAAACAAATTATAGCAGCATTCTTTATAAAAAACACCAGTTTTGTTTTAAATGTATTTGAGCTTGAATTACCTGCATGTGAGAAAATATAGAAATGAACTCGTGCACGCATTTGTACTGGTTCCGAATGACTGTTTGCATACTTTGTAGGGATGTAACGATTCACTCAACTCACGATGCGATACGATTCACGATACTGGTTTCACAATTTGATTTTCTCATTATTTTTTTTTTTTTTTACAAATGAAATTTAAGACAAATAATAAATGAAAAAGTGTCTCTTTTATTATTTCTTATACAAAATGCAGCACATTTCTTTTTCATTTTTAAATATATTTGTCAAATAATAGAAGTACATTGAAAAAATATTCCCTTAAAGTTTGTTTCAACTCAGTGTTTCTTTCCGTCTGGTCAAGAGGCTGGACACTGGTACCTTCTCACACTTAAGTAAAGGACTCTAAAATTAGTACCACATTGAAAGGCGTTTTACATTGTAATAAGGATATATTTTAATTTTGTCACAATTTGTATCCTTAAACTGGAAAGAGTTAAAAAAAAAGAACACATTTAGTAAAATATGCCATAACCATCAACAAATTATTTTAAAAAATAAATAAATCCATGTACACATTTAGAGAAAGAGATGGTAAAATAAATACGACACATGGTTGCCATGGAAACACTGACAAGCCTTGTGATCTCCGTAGCTCTCACACACTAGTTGTATTAATGACTTTTACATTAAAAAACGGAGGTGATGTGCTTCTCAAAGTGGTGATTATTATTAGTCTACAAAGAGTCAAAATGCCGCCACAGCTCCGAGTTGAATGAGTCAACATCTACGCTGGCCGTCGCCATCTGTTTGACAGCGCGTGCACACAGTCTATGGCACACACTGGTGCTGCGCGAGCAGAGCAAACCAAGCGTTTTCAGTTCATTACTATGAGTGCTCACACAAGCTCAAGTTCCTTAGGAATGAAGTGAAAACACTCGCTAGGTTCGCACCAGTGTGTGCTCGCTGCTATTGTGCCTGTAAAGCAGGGGTCTCAAACTCAAATTAACTGGGGATAGAGTCTGGGTCAGGCCGGGCCGCATCAAGTATTAAAAAAAAATAATTGTATTTAAGTATTCCAAAAATGGAGCACAACTGATCCAATCTTCTCAATCTTTATTATTAACGTTTCTTATGAACTGTTCCTCTGAATTTGAACATTCCTTTCTGTACATGATTGGTTCTTCATGAGCTGTCCTTCTGACAGTTGAAGTTAATTTTACAAACTTTCTTTGTCTTTCTTATACACAACATCTTTGTAATGATAGTCATATTTGCTTTTTATTTTCTTTATACAACACTATTATATTGAATGTTTTTTTTCCCGAAAGGCACATTTCCTTTTATAATACTTAGAATTATTTGTATTTCAAAAGCATAATTGTTTTTCTTTCTACACATGTAGTGTCTCAGGCAAATTACTGACTTTGCACATATCAAAGCAAACCTTATCAACCTGTTGGACCAAGTTCATTACATGAACTAGTTCAAAGTTCAGTTCACAAATTTTAAAATGAACTAGTTCAGTTCATATTTCAAAAATGAACTAGTTCATAGTTATTTTTTTCCATATGTTGCTGCGAGCTTCTTTTTTATTATTAGGCTATTATTATTGCCACAGCCCATATACAACCACAGATAACAATCATTTTATCGACGGGCAAAGTTTGCACAGACATGTGCACGACCTCATAAAACCCTTTTAAATGATCTTATGACGCCTCCTCGCTCCTCCGTTCACAGACACTAGAATGAACGAGTTCACTGTAACGTTCATCAGGCAGTAACTAGCTACGTTCAGTTCACGTTCGCCCAAAATATGAATGAGTTCATTAACTATAGTTCATTGAACGTGTTCAGACACAACACATATTACTAACTCAAAATGATTATTCTCACATTGTTTTAGAGCAGGGGTATCCAACACATCGCTCGCGACCTATCAGTAGCTGTGGCCTGATTTGGTGGTGGTAGCTCGCCTTGGGCCTGTTCACATATCGCGCTCACATATTTTGCACGCTCAAGTACGTTCCAAAGGCGCGCATTAAGTGCCGAGCGCGCTCATAATTGAAACGACGCGCTCATTTTTTCCAGGCGCAGTATATTTGTACTTCGTGGTTGTCTATGACAACTATTGACAACAAACCCAACATAAGCTGTCACGAGACTATATATGGTAGCCCACAAGGGATAAAAATAATAACAATAAAAAAACGCGGCAAACGCAACGGCGGGCCGCACTAACATTAAACTTTAATATCAAGTAGGGGGCCACAAAATTGCGGGCCGCGAGTTTGAGACCTCTGCTGTAAAGCGAGGTTCACAGCTTCACAGGCTATTCAGTAAACGTCCCTGCTGTTTAAAACGTCTATCGCCATTCGTTTAACATTTCAACCGACTTGAATCGCCACACATTTTTATCGATTTTCAACCAGTTGCGAGTGAATCGTTACATCCCTAATGCTTTGTGTTAATCGCAGTTTATAAATTGCAACTTTTCAGATACTTTTTTAAAAAATAAAAAAAACTTGTATTTTGATTCTGAAGCTTTTGTTTAATTATTCTGTCTCTCCCTCTATGGAGCATATGTTATCCGCTGCTGCGTATATGGTAGAGTAATGCTGTGACGTGTGTTTGCAGAACGAGAATGTGCACAGGTCTGTGAAACCCCAGATCCTGTCCGTCTTTGGTGATATTGCCCTTGCCATTGGAGGGGAATTTAAGAAGTACCTGGACATTGTGCTGGACACACTGCAGCAGGCCTCGCAGGCACAGGTGGACAAGGTAACCCCACACACACACCTGCGTACTGCCCAAAACACTCAGGGTTCCCGCGGGGCATTAAGCATCAAATGTTTTTTGGTGAAAATGAAGGTTGTAAATGGCAGTAAAAAGTGTTAATTTAAAGGGGTCATGAACTGGCTTTTAAAATTATATTATATTGTTGTCTTAGGTCAACTTATAACGTTCGCTTTTGCATTCAAAAACATCAAAATGAACAAGTAATAGGCTATTTTGTACCCTGGTTGTGAGCCTACCTAAAAAACAGTCGGTTTTTATGGGCGTGTCGCACTGAAGACTTGGAAGTAAACGCCCACTGCTGCGAGTGGAGAACAGTTTTGCATATTATAATGAGTTTAACTCACCCGTCAGTGCACATGGGGGAAAACGTCCAATGTTGTCAAATGGAAACCGGATTCGCCCATACATGTTCGACCCAGAGTCCGTGTGTTGCACAATATTCCTGTCAGATCCAATATAGACGGCACAGCACCGTTCTTTACTCTTAATCGGTCTGCAAATCCAGTCTTGTTGACAAAACAATCCTCAGTGAAATGAAGCGAACAGACGACAATGTTTTACCCTCATCAGCTGGAACATCATTAAAAGTAAAGTTTATCCATGCAGTCCTATTGGAATCCACAGGAAGCTGCAGCGAGTGTCTTGCACAACCAGGCACTGCACAATATTCTGTATTGCTCGGTAGCGATCCATTATGTCATCACGAGGTAAGCATGTATACATGTATGATACTTAGCTATGCGTGCAATGCGCGAATCGGTGGGCGGGGCTAAACCTGCCGTGGTGAAGCAGGCGTTGATCATCTTCTGCGGGGGTGGTGTTTTATCCTCTTTGTCGTCATAGTTCCACACTTTTAAAAACTAGTCGTTTTCAGAGGCTGTGTCAATAAAAGCTTTTATTGGACTAACAAGGACGTTTTCAGTTCTGAAACTTACAGGATATTCTTATAATATGATGACCTCTTAGATGTCAAAAGCTCAAGGAAAATTTGATTTCTCAGTTCATCACCCCTTTAATCCTACAGGCGTTCAAAATTTAGATGGTCTTGAAGAATTTTATATTATCAATTTATTTCAATATAACCTTCATAATTAATCATTGTATTTGCTGTCTCAATATATGTACGCTAGTGTGAAACACGCGGAACCACTTTGGTAATTGCAAGTGGTGTAGTTTATCATTGCCTTGTCGTCCAAATGTTCCTCAGTGTTTCTGTGTAACTGCAGTCACTCAGGTCGATGGTGATGTCATACACATACTCTATTAGTAGAGTGTATATATATATATATATATATATATATATACACAGTGTATATATATATATATAAGAAAATGCAGGTAAAGCTAGCTAGCTACCAACAGGTTCAAAGTTAAAACAATTTAAACAGCAGTATTCTACATTGTAAATACCAGTACAGTTTTTTTTTTAAAGCAAGTAGAATTTCTATAACTGTGTGTTAAACCAGTGGTTCCCAACCATTTTTGTCTGTGACCCCCTTTTTCCCAAGAAAATATTTTAGGGCCCCCCTTCACATTAAGATATGGGCCGATTATGTGGAAAAACAATGAAATAATTTTTTTTTTTTTTTTTTGCTAATTTCGAAGAACAGACATTCAAAAATAATCTCCCAAAGTTTAGTTGTCCAGATAATTGAGTAAAGGTACTTAAATGATGATTAAAGTTGTCAAAGCTTTAAATTCGCTGAAATAAACATTGCTCTTCTCAACTCCCCTCGTCAGCTCTGAGCATTTCCCGGGTAGCCTATCCGCTGAAACGTTGAACTCAAAGTGTTGAACTCACTGGAGGCTTCTAACCTGCACTAAATTTTTTTTTATTATTTATTTATTTTTTTTTTTTTTTAGTCGTTAAGTTAAAGTTAACGGAAAGTCATCTCTCCTCAGTCATTCTCCATTCTGCATTCACACAGCGCGTCGCGTTCGGTTGCGACAGTAACATGACGACACTCTCTTCAAGATCAATGTTCTGATTATTATACTTTATTTGTAGATAAAGCATAAAGGTCTATGGTTTACATAAAATTACTATCTTGCTGGAGTTTATTGCTCTTTCTAAATCACATTCCTTTCTCGCGGGTGTAACGTTACAGCGCTGGAGTAGAGAGAATGCTATTGTTCTTCATGCGCACTGTAACTGAAATTTAAAACTGTTAAAAAAAAAGGCTAAAAAAAACTGTTGCTGATAGATTACACTAAGCATTAGTGCTGCGCGATTAATCATATCGCAATTAGGGCTGGGCGATATATCGAGTATGTACGATGTATCGTTATATTTTTTGAAACAATATGGAATGAGGCAATACCGTTTATATCGATACAGTAGTTTGATATGAGCACATCTGAAAAATAGCTGCTGCAGTGAAAGTAGCTAGGCTACGTAGTACAATTTGTCCTAAACATGACACAAGCTTATATTAATTGCGTCAAAATCACTTTGATAAAGTTAACAAGTTTAAGGCAGCTTGCCGCCCTGTCAAATGCTCTGACAGACACTGTTGCTGACTGACAGATATACTTGCGCTGTTTAATGCGTTTGAGATGTGATTCTTTCCTCAGTGCTCAACTTACATTTCACATGTATATTCTCCATCTGTAAATGTTAGAAAGTAAAGCAAATATGTCCATTTCACAACAAATATGTCCATGTCAGAAGAGGACGAGCTTCTGCAAGTGAATCTCCGCTAAAATTCATGCTTCCTTGAACGAGCGCCGGCGCGCGCATGCGCGTGAATAGTACTACGTAGTACGCAATAATTCTGACTAAAATAAACATATTGCTAAAATATTTGTTGTTGGAGAAAATAAATGTGCCATATGTGGAATTTTAAACCTACAAGTATATATTTTTAATGAAAGTGAAAGTGATTATAATGGGGTAATCAAATGCAGGCTAATATAATTAGTTTGTGCTTTTGTTTTTGTTTTTATTTTCATTTTTAGTTTAGCTTTTAGTCAATATAAAAACAAAAGCTTTTTGCACATAATATAATGCATAGCCTATATTATATTTGTTTCCATATCTCTCAATATCAACATTGTTTGTAGGATTTCATTGGGCCGAATGTGATATATATATATATATATATATATATATATATATATATATATATATATGTATATATGAAGAGTTCAGATGCAAAAGCCTCTAAGTGCCATTTGAAATTTTCTTCAAAAATGATCATTTTTATCAAGCTTGTATATTTAAGTTCAGTAATTTCACTTAAATGACAATGATAATTACATATTAATTGTTATTTAAGTGAAATTACTGAACTTAAATATACAAGTTTGATAAAAATCATCATTAAAGAAGAAAATTTCAAATGGCATTTAGAGGCTTTTGCATCTGAACTCTTCATATATATATATATATATATATATATATATATATATATATATATATTTCAATATAAAGATTTTCTTTATCTAAATAGAAAACGTAGAAAGTACCGAGATATATATCGTATATCGCCATTTGACCAAAAAATATCGAGATATGATTTTTTGGCCATATCGCCCAGCCCTAATCGCAATCGTAATAGCGATCTCAAACCTATGCAATTATATAACGCAAAATGACGTGATTTTATATGAAATAAACAAATTAGGGCTTTTAACGCAGCATCTCTTCTTTTTTGTCATCCTTTGACTAGTGTTACATGATCCCGCTCTTATTCATGCAAATGCCTTTTCGCATATTGCACGACAAGAAGTCAAAAGCTGTCTGTGAATGTCCTGAATGTGACTAAGTTAGCAGAAAGATGCGCGCACAGACCGCGTGCCAGAATATACAGTTCTCTTTCGAGCTTGAACGAACAATAGCACACACAATTATGCCAAAATGTTGTTTTGTCGAGTATTCATAACATAAGAAAAGTCTTATGGACGGAAAGAGTTGTGTTTGTGGGAGAAAGAGGCGCGTGTGAGATCCGCGTCTCGGCAACCGCTCCTCTTAAAGGGCCAGCAGCGAATAAAGCGTTCTGTCTTAATCAAAGAACAAAGGGAACAGAGAAAATTACTCACTGCTCTTGACTAAAGAACGTTTGTAGCTTTAATAATTAGTCTATATATAATTTATAATTCATGCAGTGCAGACTGTTTGATAACTTTATTCAATTTCTGTATCCTACCTGTTAAGACAGGAAGGGCACAGGTAAATATGGCTTTTATTATGGGTTTATGTGAGGATTGTTTGAAGTTCACTTATACTTTTTTAAGCCTAATATTTTTTTTTAAAAAAGTTGATTGCTTTCAATTGTAATGTTGGAGTCACTGTAATGTTGGTTTGGTAGATGGTTTATTGATCATTATAGGTGTTATCAATCATTTAGTTGTTGTTTTTAGTTTGAGTTGAGAAATAAACATTAATACACAGAATGATCACTAATCTGTGTGTGCATTTTACTTTAGAACCAAGCAAGTTGGACTCATGAAACCATTTTATTATATCGCAATTGCAATATTGACTTCAATAATCGCAATATGACATTTTCCCCAAATCATGCAGCCCTACTAAGCATAGATTATACAGATATAATCCCTTCGCTATGTGCTATGAACTTTTCAATGTGAAGCGTTGCATGCTGTGACTTGGTGTTGCTTCAAGTGCATCATTCTGCACACAGGATGCGCATGATCGCTTTGCTGCTCTTAGTGGAGCCTATCATATTATAATACTTTGGGGAGACAAGGGGGCGTGGCCTAAGGGAATATCACTCGTGGGCCACGCCCCCTCCCTCTGGGGAAATGGGCCTGGCACCACAGCTTGGAAAAATCCTAGAGGAAACACTGGCACAGCTATTTAATGAGGCAGCAACATTAATAATTATTAATGTTAATAAGCTTTAATTGCGTCACTGCATTATGATATGAATGACTCCAACACAGTGCGGCACAAAGCGCTTATGCGCATTCCGAGCGCAGAATGATGCGCTTGAAACCACGTGGAGTTACAGCACGCTGCCGAGTATGGACCCTATGGTATGCACGCTGCACGTTGAGTCCGCTTTGAACAGTGTATTAAACGGTAGCTATCTATACAAAATTTATTGAGCCTTTTCTTTAAACAGTTCAGTTACTGTGCGCGTGAAGAATAGTGCTCTGACTCTAGTGTTGTGATCTAACCGTTACAGCAATAAAGTCCAGCAAGATAATGTTGTTTTATGCGAAAACATAGACCTTTATTTACAGATAAAGTATAATAGTATTAACATTGAATCATCTTGAAGATAGTTTCATCATTTACTGTAACCGAACGCGACGCGCTATTTGAGTGCTGAATGGAGAATGACCGACAGCCGCGAATTTACGTGATCTTAAATTTAATGACTTAAATATGAATTTCTCTCTCACATAATGGCTTCATAACACTTATAATAGAGTGCACGAAAACGTTATGGTACTTTAGAATGTTTTTGTGCCTTCTGTGGGGCTTAACAATAGCATAATAGTATACGCACAATATCGGATTTGGATCGGCCTCCTCTGATCGATACCCGATCCCGCAAAAATGGCTGGATCGGAGCCGATACCGATCCTGAGTATCGGATCGGGAAATCCCTACTGTTTACTGCCTTTTTAATAATGGTGGGTGATGGTGTGTTCGGCCAATCAGTGAACACTTAACATCCCAGATAGTTCGTATAGTGCTGGATTAGACAGACTGAAATAGGAGTAAATTAGTTCCTCCAAAAGAGTTCCTAGTACTGATAGTTCCTGCGGTGCGAACTCTCCAAACTCCGGCAACTTCCGCCAATAGTTGTAGGAGCGACGAAGAGGTTCCTGCGCTGCGAAAGCCTCTAATCTTTATTTGTGCATTTTCTGATGAGTACTCCTCCTTTGTCCATGAAAGTGCTGTTATTCTCGGGTCAAGTTTGCTTTCGCTTTAAAGTGCAGTATTTCAACTTTATGAAAAGTCTGAACCAATGAAATATACTTTTGAAACTCATGCTGATGTTACTCGCGCGGACTGACAGAGCTGATGCGTGCACTGACGCTTCGGACGTCAATCGGTGTGTGTGTGGGAATGGATGCATCCAGAAAACTCTTTTGAAGCTCATTCTAGTAGTGGTGGGAGTCTGGGCTTCCACATCACTTCAGACTCAACGCGTTCGGTGTCCTCATGCACATGTGAAACCGCCGGCCACACGTGGTTTATAGTTGCATTTAATTATCTTGTGTGGGTCACCCTGCTGGTCCATATCAATGCCTGAAATGAAGTTGGCCTTTTCCTGAGTTAAACTGGAAGCTAAACCAGGCTAACTGGGAGGTTAACCAGTGGCTGCTTCTGTTGTTTCAGACAGACTATGATATGGTGGACTATTTGAATGAGCTGAGAGAAGGCTGTCTGGAAGCTTACACTGGGATCATCCAGGGCTTGAAAGGAGACCAGGAGAATGTACACCGTAGGTTTACCCTAATATGCATCTCTTACTGTATGACGAGGAAAAGATTCCTGTATAAACCATGTTTCCCTCCATCTTTGCAGCCGATGTAATGCTGGTACAGCCTCGTGTCGAGTTTATCTTGTCTTTCATCCAACACATTGCTGAGGACGAGGACCGCTCTGACGGGGTGGTTGCCAACGCCGTCGGCCTCATAGGGTAAGGACTGACGTTAGTTAGGGTTAATGCTGACGGTGCTTCCACTCGGTCAGACTGGCCAGTGCTAAGGGTTTTCACTGGATGTTGTTTACGGACCAATGTAACCTTGTATTCTCACGCAGAGCAGTTTCACAGTTCAATTCCAGAGAATAAAAAGTAATAAAATAAGAACAGATTAAACGCATGATAAGCCAGTGTTTTCCCGTTCATCCACTAGACTGTGTGTATAAGTTGTTCTGGTTAGTCTAACAGTGGCATTGAGGTAAGAGAATGGAAGTCCCATCAGTGGTCCGGAGTGTCTTTCACACTGTCTAGTCCTGGACTGGGTAATAAAACAATACTAGGTTTAGTCTGTTATAATGAAGAAAAGGCTGACCAATTACAATCTTCAAACTTTTGGGCTCATTGTGCTTCAGAGGCTGTATTCACAAAGAATTTTATCTTACCACTAGGAGTACTAAATCGCACTAAAATATTTTAGCTAGGAGTTTTCTCTTAAGTTATTCACAATGCCTTTCAGACCTACTCTTAGTAAGGAAAAATGACAACTCCTAAACTAAGAGTGAGTCTTCGTTGTTATGGATGACATCAATTCTCATGCACGAGCTTCCTCGCAATGATCACGTTGATTGGTTGTTAGATGACAGGGCCATCATGCGGAACATAACACAGCAACAAATCATGGAATTACGACGTCTAAATATGCCTGTCCTTCACAACATAATAATACATTTAAAAAAGTAATGTCATCGAAATGCATAGGCTATATAATGACATTTGTGCAGGCCCCAGTAAAGTGTAATTCTAAAAAGGCAAAGAGAAGAAAGTCATGAATGAAATTATTCAAGGTAGCCTAAGGGCATGCAGTGTTCACATGTCGCGTCTTTTGCGCCCTCAAGTTCGTTATTTTAAATGTAGGCACAGGGTATGTGCGCCCGTTTTTTCCAAGCGCGTCCATATGGAGCGCACCGTAGGTCACGTGACAAGAACCAACCGGAGCGCAACCACCGGGAGAACGCGGCGCGCCAGGTACTTATGTTTTTAGGCAGTATATGTGAATGGTGCCTAATACCATAATGAAAACCTTCACTTGCATAATAATGAAAAACGACACTTGAATTAACACTTGCTTGGTTAATTGACATTCTATTAGCCTAACTAGACTACTTAAAGCAAGGAAATGTTGCTCCTATTGAAGTAATGCAATAGTTGAATGATGGTGGATTATGAACTCTCCAAAATGGAAAGAAAGCCCAACTGGATGCAGGATCGGCTGCTGGCGCAGTTGGTGCTAGAAAGAAGAAAAAAAAAAAACATAATAAAAGTGAAATTCGGCACTGGGATATCAAGCAAAACTAAGCGTGAGAGATGGGAGAGGATTTGTTTGCAGATGAATGCAGCATTCCCGCTTGTGTCGCGGACCCCGGATGACTGCGAGAGGCGCTGGTGTCGCTACAATCCTTTGTGAATAGGTCTTGGTGAGTTAGGAGTCCTCTCGACTTCTTTTAAGCTGTCCCAGACTTAGGTGCTACTTTTAGGGCTAAAATGCTTCGTGAATTACTCTTAGAGAAAAAAATTAGGAGTCCTAAAATTAAGAGTGACACGCCGATTATTTTTAGGAGTTGCTCCTAAATTAGCCAGTTAGGAGCTACTTTTAGCCTTAAAATTCTTTGTGAATACGGCCCCAGAGCTCCAGCAGGAGGATCTTGATTCACCTGAAAAACTAGTGTCAGTGTTTACTGAGGGGTTATAGTGTAGATTAGACACTAGTGTCAGTGTGTTTACGGATTAGATTAGACACTGAATTCAGCCTTTTCTGCTCTTGCGATCATTGTGTTTAGTAGGACACTGCCAATTTCTTTTTTTGGATGATTCCAATTAATCCTGTTCATTGGTCTAGCATGTTTCTTCTGTTGCTCTATTATGCAAGTTGACATTTCTTCCCCCCTCCTAAAGTGACCTGTGTACAACTTTTGGGAAAGACGTGATGAAGCTGGTAGAGGTTCGACCACAGATCAACGATCTGCTGACTGAAGGACGGCGGTCCAAGATCACAAAGACCAAGACTTTAGCCACATGGGCCACGAAGGAGCTGCGCAAGCTGAAGAGCCAAGCTTGGTATGTGTCTGCACCCCCTCATCAGACCCGTTTAGACCTAAGCTGAACATCACATGCTGAATGAAAAAGCGTTTCATTCTCTAATACAGTAGTGACTCTCGCTTATGTTCAACCCCGTTGGCAGGGGTGTAAAGTAACGAATTACAAATACTCACGTTACTGTAATTAAGTAGTTTTTTTCAGAAATTGTACTTTTTTGAGTAAGTTTAAAATTGTGTAATTTTACTTTTACTTGAGTACATTTTAAGTGATGTATCGGTACTTTTTCTCCGCTATTTTCCTTCTGTTTGTGGCCGTTACTCGTTACATGCTTGTTTTAATTTTATTTTTATCCATCAACGTGATTGGATCAAGTAATCGGTCTCGTGACTGTCATCAATTCAAATTAAGCATAGAAAACTTACCGCCTATTCCTGCTGTTACTCGTGACTGCTGTGGATGTGCTGCGCATTCATCACGCATCAATTCAATCCAGATATCAGCGTCTTCCTCTAATATGCTAAAGTACATTTCACATTTCTGCTTAATATGATATTTATATAGGCTGGCCTGTCTACATGGCCTAACATTTGGTCTGAGGTTGGGGGAGTTGCGAGACGAGTTCATAATGCGGTGAATTCCCGCTCCTTCACAATCACAGGAGAGGCGCACGTCACGATCTGCCGCGTCTCGCGCTCGCCATGCCGCCAGATTCAGAATCAGTGCACCATGTGTCGTTGACTTGAACTGCATTACTTAATAAGAAATTAGCACAGCTCGTTAATAAACTGCGTTTTTTGATTGATCCATTATATGATCCGTCTTCATTTGGCAAGTGCACTTGCGCAAAAACATTTTTCATGCTGAACTTTTTTTTAGTTTTTTTGCGGATGCTGCTGATTAAACAGCTTCGCCGAGACTTCAGAGACAAAGTGTGTTTGTTTCTTTTGTAAAAGTTTCCTGGATATAACTTCCCTATTTAATGCACAATTTTCCTTACAAATTATATTATCAGCATTACAATGTGAGTGCTCCGTGTAAAATGTAAGGGATGATGCCACCCTTCTAGAACAATGCATTTACGTTTAAATTGTAACATATTTAATAGCATGGAATAAAAGTGTGTAATTAGTGTTAGCTCACTATCTTAGCCTTTTTCAGTGCATTAGTTGAGGTAATCTGATAATATTAGTGATTCTCATTTATCAAAAGACTAACATTGGTACCATTTTGGAGAGAAATTGGGTATTTTTTTATTTTATTTAACCCATCTCTTGGTGTGTGATGCTGAACTATCATATGAGTTTCTAAAGGTTTTTGAATTATTTGAGCAGTTATGAATATTGATATTTTATGTGCAACAATAACATGCTCAGGCCCAGTGGCTTTTCGCCTAATTTTAAATGCTTTTCCCCCCAAATAATATAATTTAAATGGTGATGAGTGTACTGATTTGATGCATTTTAAAAAGATGGATGATAGATATTCTTCAATCTTTGTTACAAAGAACAAAATATAATGTGAATTCCAGTATGTGCATTTTTTTTAATTAATAAATTGTAGTGCACAGTGTTTATTATAAGGGGTAGAATCCGCACCTCAGTACTCACTACTCACTACTCTTGAGTACTTTTAAATAAGCTACTTTTTTACTCTTACTCAAGTAGTTTTTTAGACAAGTACTTTTTACTCTACTCACACTACATTTTTTGGAATGTAATGGTACTTTTACTTGAGTATGTTTTTTCAGTACTCTTTCCACCACTGCCCGTTGGACTGAGACTGTCGTTCATCTTCAGAGCACAAGTTAAGATTAAATCTGAGAGCTGGATCACTCTAGCCTGGTAATACCAGACTCTGCTACTTCACTGTGCTTCATAGACAGAGTCTGGAATGGCATAATAGAGTGGCATAAATAAGTGTTTTCTCTCTCGCTAGGGGGCGCTTCTCTGAAGTTTAAAATCATTGGTTACCCGTAAGCCAATCAGATAAGTTTATTAATGACGTATGTTATGCGCCGACACAGCCGCATCGAACCACAGACATTATGCATCGAACTCAAATCTATGATCGAACTTCTACTGTAAACAGGGAGCGACGTTTTTGTAAGGGCTGCAAAATGTGTGCCAACCGGGAATGAACAATTCACAAACTAGGTTATTTATACGATTTACTGAGCTGTGGCCTGCTCTCACGAGTCATGACTGATTTAGCTTCCGCCGCCCCTCAGCGCTGTGAGGGCGAGCCCAAGCCCCTGCTCTCGCAAGTCATGAGTCTCATGACTGGTTAATAGGAAGTTCATTTTTCTGACTCTGAGTCATTCGAGTCATTTCGTTTATTTAAGTGGCTTTATACCATGGTCTGGGTGAATACTCGATTCTGATTGAGGACACCTAGTAAAGTAGTTCTGGTGAAACTGCCTGTTTACCATTCGAAATGAATAAATAAATGCGCTGCCCACAACAGCTGTGAGTAACCATAGCAACAGGCAGTCAAAGTATCCGTTAACAATTTGCTCTATCAAAACAAACATCTAACGTTAGTTAGATATTACATAGCCTTCTAATACAACAATGAGCGACTTCGTTATTTCTTTTAACATTTATGGAGAATATGACAACTTTGACGACTGGGATGCTGCTGAAGAAAGAAAAAATGTAAATAAAACGGAGAAACGTCGCAAAGAAAATAACACCGCTGCTGCTCTGAATGAGACCCTGCGGGAGTTTTACGCAGCTGTCCAGACAACCAAGGCAGGAGGAGAGTACAGCGTTTCAAGCCTAAGAAGCCTGTTTGATTAATTGTTTTGTGTAATTAAAAAAATATATAACAATGCCTACCTTTGTGTTTCATGAAAAAAAAATGCATTTTTGAACCTGAAGGGTTCTACAAGCTGAGCGGACTATAAATATATCCGGTTGCTAAATAAACCAGGCGACTTATTATTTGTAAAATAGATTTAGTCTAATTAAAATATAAACTAGCAGCTAATGTTTTAAAAATGGTTTATTTGGCAAGTGACCGTGGTATAAGCGGGTTAATGCCCTTCGAGGTGTCCATTGTCAGGTTTTAATGGACTTTGGCGGAGGCAACCGTCCTCCGCTGCGCGTCGGCCGGTTCACGCCTCGCCATCGTCCATTAAAACCTGACAATGGACACCTCGTCGGGCATTAACCCTTACTTAAATGTTATAATTTTAACAGCCAAATTCCCCGATTGCATTGCTTCACAAAGCCTCGATCTGCCCATCACAGATCTCTTTCACTGCAGTTCTCTTTCCTATGGCTTACCCAACTCATCTATAAATAAACTCCATTATATTCAGAACTGCGCAGTTAGGGGTCCTAACATACACAAAGAAATCTTCCCACATTGCTCAGATTTTACACTGACTTCATTGGCTACCGGCGCGTTTTCATATTAAAGGGCACCTATCATGGATTTTTGAAAATGATTGTTCATGTAGTGTGGAATATAGCTCTAAGGGAATGAAAACATCCTGCAAAGATTTATATCTGAAAGTGCACCGTATATAAAGTTATTGTCTTTCAAAAGTGAGAGTCGACTCTGAGAATTGTTTTTGAAAACGAGTCATTAGCGGTTTCGTCGTGACGTAGATGCAAAACATTAGCTCATTGGCCGCTCCCAACAACTGCGCGCGCAGACGGGAGTGTAAACTTGAACACATTCAAAAACTTCAGCTGAATAGCGTCATGTCGAGAAGACGCTGTGTTCTACATTGCAAAGACAGTTCAGCAACTTGTTTTCATTGCCCAGGGACGAGCATGTGAAGAATCAGTGGTTGGTTCATATTTGCAACGATACCACAATAGTATAGCCCGAACCTTGTGTTCTCATCATTTTAATGACGAATCATTCAAAAACATTAATGAATTCAAATGTGGATTCGCAAGCCGGTTGTTCCTGAAGGAGGGCTCAGTATCCAGTGTATATGGATCAGGTTCGTCCTCCTCCAAATCACAATCTGCAAGTATTATTAATAATGTTTATTGTGGATGCTACAGAAAACATAACAGCATAGTTATATTGTGTTGTGTACACTCGGCGCAGCTTCTAAGCGGGGTAAAGTTAGTTTTGTTTTTGATATTCACCAGACATTCATTGAAAAATGGCAATTGCCTCCTAAACGACTTAGCCAAATATGACTTTGCTCTATATAATAAGCACTGCCCCTCAAAAGCCGCCGCAATGTGAGTTTCACCGGGAAAGCTCGCTCTTGACGGAGACGCGAGTAAGGGACCGTGTGGAAAGTGCACTTTTTCTGACATGTTTGTTCAAACACTATATACAATTTTCAACACTTGACAAGCTATAATCCTGCTTATGGGCGTTCCGTTGCCGACAATCTCTGCCTACGGTTTACCAATAACAACTGACTGGGTCATTTGACCAATCGCCGCAGATTCGCGTCACTCAAAGGAGGTCTTTGGGAAAATGAATAGTCTAATGAATCATTTGGGAGTCGTTGAGCAAATCGGGTAAAAATAAATGCATATTATAAGACAAATAAAGTGTTTTTTATCCTTGCATGTACGTTAAACTGTTTTTGGGAACTCCCAAAACAAAAATAGGAACATTTTCAAATGCTATGATAGGGGCTCTTTAACGACGAGATGCTCCTTATCACATTCAAAGCACTCCATGGTCTTCCCACCTATATTTCTGTTCTCATCCATGCCTACTCCTAGCCTGACTACGTCAGACTTCCTACTTCCGCTAATTTCATTTCGCTCCTGTAGTCAGTCTGAGATGGCAGCCTATCTTTCAGTTCACTAGTCTGAAAACAGCCGGCCAATCAACGAACAGAGGGCGGGCTGAGAGCCGCGACGTAGACGCTAAGCGCCGAGTTTTACATTGTAGCTTTGAGAAAAATGGAAAACCGAAACGACTGCAGAAATGGGAAACGAGACACGGGATGCAATTCGCTCTGTTATGGAGAACATTCCAGGGTTTTTCAAACTGAAGCAAAAGTCGTTTACAGCCATGTTCAGTCCGGTATT